GTGGAAATGGCAGAATGGGGATAACAAAGTGGAGACATCATGCTTCAGAGAGCAGTAACTAGGAAGAAGAGATGTTTAACTCTTAATTCTGGGGAGGAACTAATAAAAAATAAAATGCATAAAGGCCATGAAGATGGTCCCCATCAGGCAGAGATCTGAACCCTTAGGTCATATGAGTAGGTCTTCACAGGTGGGAGATCTTTGATTCTCCCAAAGATTTAAAAGATTCCTCAAGGTCAAGGGCCCTTTATTTTTAATTAATCAATTAATTAATTTTAAGTTCTCAACATTCACTTCCATAAGATTTTGAGTGTTAAATTTTCTTCCCCTTCCTCCCTTCCCACCTTCCCAAGACGGCATGCAATCTGATATAGGCTCTATACATACATTCATATTAAACACATTTTCACATTAGTCACGTCATAAAAAAGAGTTAGAACCAATAAGAGGAACCACGAGAAAGAAGAAACAAAACAACAACAACAACAAAAAGAGAGAGCAAATAGTATGTTTCCATCTGCATTCTGACTCCAAAGTTCTTTCTCTGGATATGGATAGCATTTTCCAACATGAGTCTTTTGGAATTGTCTCGGAACATAGTTGCTGAGAAGCGCTAAGTCTATCAAAGTTAGTCATCACACACTGTGGCTGCTACTGTGTACAATGTTCTCCTGGTTCTGCTCGCTTCACTCAGCATCAGTTCAAAGGCCCTTTAGAAGCTGACCAGGCCACAAGTGTCCTCACCCCCAATCTACCTTCTCAGGGGTTGTCCTATCCACTTTATCCATGTCCCTTTAACTGCATGTTTCCACAGTGAGCACTGCTTTGTTCAACCTACTCCTACCCTTTGGCTGCTATAGATTCCAGCAATCAATAAGTATCACATTTTTCCTCTGAAAAGCCAGTTAGCTTTCCGTGGTACCATCCATGATAAGCTCACTACCTCGTCATCAGGCATAATGCTGGGCTCATTTACCTCAAAGTCTTGAACTCTTCCTTTCCATCTCTATCTGAAGGACAAATAACCAGGTACTTTATGAGCCATGAAATTAAGTGGCAATATGACCCAAGGGTAAAGCCATAGCCATCCTTAATACCTACTATACTGACTATTCCAAACACCATCACAGCCCTGGGGCCACCTTTTCCTAGGAAGACATCATAAATATAAAATTAATGAGAGATTTAATAATCAAAGAGGTTCCAGAATCTCAGAGTTTAGATGGACTATTAAAGTTTCTTCAATTCAACTACTTCATTTTACAGATTAGGCAACTGAGATTGGAAGTGACCTCAGAAGCCATCAAGTACAACCCACATCCAAACCAGAAAGCTCCTCTTCCCTTCATAATATAGCTGACAAGGGATCCCTCAGCTTTGATGAAAGATTTCCAGTCAGAGGTAATCTGTCTTCTAAGGCAGTTCATTCCACACTGAGGTAGTTCTAGTTGTTGGGAATTTGTTTTCCTTTCAACTAGCCTAATCTGCCTCTTTGTACCTTCTACTCACTGTTCCTAGTTCAGCCCTCTAAAGCTGAAGCAGACCATGTCTAATGTTTCTTCCATATAATAACAGCCTTTCAAACACTTGAAGAGACCTGTCAAGTCTCTCCACATCTTCTCTTCTTCAAGGAAGACATCTCCAGTTCCTTCAGGGGATCCTTATGACCCCAAGGCCCTTCACCATTCTCACTGTCTTTCTCTGAATGGTCTCCATCTTATCAATGTCCTTTCTAATATATGGCTCCCAGAACAGAACATAATAACTCAAATGTGGTTTGTCCACGGAAGATAGTAAGAAGGCTATCACTGTCCCTAGTCCTGAACACTATGCTTTTAAAAAAATGCAAATGAAGACCACATTCACTTTCTTGGCTACCATATCCCATTGTGGATTCATACTGCACTTTGCATGCTACTAAAAGTTCAAGATATTTTTATATGTATGACCTGCTATCTATGCCTCCATCTTATGTTTACAAAACTAGTCTTTTGAACCCAAATGTATGACTTTCTATTTACCCCCTACTAGATGTCATCTTATCACATGCAGCCTGATATTCTACACCTTTTTGAATTCTAACTCTGTCCTCTGCATTTGATTTCCCTCCTAGCTCTGTGGCATTTGCAAATTTCACTAACATTTTTATTAATGACTGATAAAGGCGGAGATGGCATGCTAACAGCATAGGGCCACAGTAGAGAAAGCTCCTTGGGGATTTCTACCAGACTTCCTTCCAAGCTAAACTTTGAACTATTAATGACTCTCCCTTGGGTCCAACCATTCACCTAGCTCAGAATTCACCTAAATGTACTAGTTTCTATATCATTGCATTCCATCTCGTAGACAACAATTACACAAGACACCCTGCCAAATGCTTCACTAAAATCTTTGTCATTCAGGAAGCTAAAGAGCTCTTATTCAGGAAGGAGCCATTCTTCTTTTTAAAGAACTTGTCTTCTAAGGAAGGAAATTGTCTTCTATCCACCAAGTAAAATTTAGTGACAGTCTCCTGGAGATTCTACAGTACTCTGCCAATATCATCTGGGAAGAAGTATTCTCCCCATTTCATAGTTAGGAACACGGAAATCCTGAATCTCCATATAATCTGAGATGCAATTACACAACATGGGAAGATTCATTCCTCCTGGCTGAAGGCATGGAGCCAGTGAGGCTCCCCAGAGATCTAAATTATACCTAAAAACATGGGCCTTCATTCAAACTCCCAAGAGCCAGAAGACAGGAATATATAGAAACTAACAAAAGGAGATGGGTACCATTAACCCTTTCCTAATGACATGTTAATAGGAGTTACCGTAACCCACTTTTCTGTCATTCTGAAGCTTCCTCAGATCCCATGTGTATTTACAAGCACAACTTATAAAACTTCCTGCCAATAAGTAAAAATAACTTACCAAGCTTCTTCAGCAACATCAAGACAATTTCCATATGCCCTTGACCAAATGAGTGTATTCCAATTCCCTGACATAAGACAATGAAATATGCCAAAATAAGTATATTCACTAGACATACTGGTTCTGGCTGTATTTGGGACCCACTTACTCTTTCTTGTGATCCTGGAAAAGTTACTTCCCCTGAGACTTAGTTTCCTTACCCATAAAATGAGAGAACAGATTATGTGATCTTTGACTTTCTACATTCTAAAATCTTCCAATTTTCTACACAAAGAAGCAGCAGCTTACTAGGATCAGGGCTGTCTAAGAATATTATGGAAGAAAGACAAACTAGGAATCCAAATGGAGCTCTATACTTCAAGACCTCATCCTACCACTATCCCTGGTTGACCCCTGAAAAAGCAGGGTGATCAAAATTTCATAGTCACTCCAAGTTCAGAATTACATGTAAATAGGATATTTGGCCCAAAGAAGCTCTTAAAGGTCTGGCAGTTGTGAGCCTGCAGTTCCCCAAACCTCTCTGGACAACCACTGGGAAACAATAACTTTTCAAAACATGGTGTTAAAACCATGCACACTATCATTGCATACTTTTTTTCCATCCTCAATAAGATCAAAAACCCTGGAACAGACTGGAGTCTATCAATCAACCAGCCAGTCTTCTCCTGCAGAGAAAGGAGAAAAAATCCTGCCGGGCCCTACACTCACTCTTGCACTTCTCAGTTAACATCTGGGTACCTGATCTTGGTGGTTTCCAACGGCAATGAAGCAAAGGTGGCCTGGAAAACTGAAATTTATAGAGGCCAAAAGGTAGTGAAGAAAAGGGTTGGCTCCTTTAATTCCCCAGTTCTATCATCTGGCAACAAAGACAGCCTAATGGGTATTTAAATGAAATGAAAGCAAGAGGAAAAAGAAAGGTCCTTAGATAATCAGTTTTTGAACTGAAGGGTCCCACAGATGGATAGGTTAGCTGGCTTCAGCACCCTGTTTCGATCCCATTGCTAGACATGTACTGCTGGATAAGTAAGTCCTAGTAAAGGAAGTGATGGACAAAGAAACTCAGAAATGGAATAATATTTTGCTTGGTGTTTTCCCACAGGGCCCTTATTCTCATTGACCATATCCTCTCCCACCTGAGGTTGGGACCTTGGATTATGGTATAGGTAAATTTTAAAATGTACAGCTCTTTGACATGACACCTGGTGAAAAGGCACAAAAAAGACACATTGCTTCTTACCCTCATCATAATCAGGACTTACCTACCCTAAAATCAGTTACATTCCTTCTCTCTCTACTACTCTTTCCTACAGAATCACTGGCAAGGAAGGAGAGAATAAAAATCCTATCTAATAGTATGTATATACTGACTTCTTTACCCAACATAACTACCATCCTGCCTGGAGGAAGAAAGAGACATGAGGAAAATCAAAATTTCTGCGGAGGTGGTCGAGAAGGCCAAGGGTGATGGGAAACTTTGTGAAGTCATAGCATCAGAGTAGGAGAAGGCTCGGGCCAGCCCCACTCCCCACTCTTCTTTCCCGGACCTCCGTTTCCCACCTTTCAAATCCTGCCCAGACTGACCAGCAAGCTGAGATGGGAGAAAAAAACACATGCAGCTTAGATATAAAGAAAAGAGAATGGCAGAAAGAGATCGAGAGCTACATCTTCACCCTGGCCTTCCAAGAGAGCTCCAGTCTAGGGGGTGGGGGGTGGGGGTCCTGTTGGGGCCAGAACAACATGTCAGTCATTGTGTGTGTGTTTGGGGGGGGGGGCTAAGATGCAAGAAGTAGGGGGAAAGGGGGAATGGGAAGGAATTACCCGATTGACACCAGGCCTGGGGGAGCAGCATCCAGGGGGGCTGGCAGGCGCACACGTCGGAGGCATCATGCGAAGGGTGGGGTGCATGCATCGATGGAGGGGCCGGGCCGCGGGGGCTGGTGCATGAACCCCCGGGAGGGTGGGCGCAGCTGCAGGCAGCAGGGAAGGCAGTAGGCATGCAAGGGGCGTGGGGCACCGGGGCACGCAGGGTGACACACGCGGACGGCGGCGCGTGGGGGTGCAAGGGGCCCGCGGGAGGGTGGTTACCGTGTGGTTGGCCCCCCACATCAGGACGCTCAGGATCGGCTCGCTCGCCCGAAACAGCTTCACTTTCTGGCACACGAAATGCTTCTTCTTGGTCTTGGTCTTGCTGGCGCTGAGCGGCGCCACCGCCACCGCCGTGGTGCTGGTGCAGTTGGACGACATGCCCGGACGGCGGCGGCGGCGACGGAGACGGCTCCCGAGCCCGCGGCCCGACGCTTCTTTCCCCGGCCCGATCCCCAGCCCCGGCGGCGGCGCCTTCACCGCCGCATGGTACCGCCCGGCCCGTTACCTCCCCCCCGCCCCCGCCCCCGTGGTACCGTCCGCCCCACGCTCCTCCCTCCCCTCCGCCCCAGGCGCCGGGACGTCCCGCTACCTACCCCGCCCCCAGGTGAGGGAGCCGCCCGCCCCCGCCCCAGTGGTACCGCCCGTCCTCGGGAGGCGGCGGCTGCTCTGCCGGCCCCTCCCCGCTACTGCTTGACAGCACCCGGCCCGAGCCGGCGGGGCCTCCGCGGGCCCAGAAGACCCGCGCCCGAGCGGGGAGGGGAGGCGGAGTGGGTTGGTGTAGTTAGCCGCCGCCAGGGGGGCTCCCCCGCCCCGGCCCCCCGAAGCCCTGCTTTGGCTCCTTCCCTTAGTTTGACGCGCCAAGATGGCGGCAATTGCCGCGGCTCGGAAGGGGAGGCGAGGGACGAAATACGAAGAAGGTGGGACGTACCATCCCCACCCCGAGGGAGGAAGGCAGTAGAGAGGAGAGGGAAATTGTAAGACTGAGGGGAATCTCCCCCTACTCTCTCCAAGCATGGATTGTCCCACTCCCCTGGACGTAGGGCGTGCTCCACCCGCGGGACACGCCCCTTTCCTTCAGCGCCAATGAGATAAGAAGACCGGGAACTCTGGGTTTTATGAATGGGTCCAGCATCCACCCACCTGGCGTCCCTTTCATCTCCCGCTAAAGCAGTGAGTTGAGGGACCTTCAGCCGCATGGATTAAGTCATCTCATTCTCAGGTTGGCTACATCAAGTCCCTACCTAAACTGCACACGGGTTGAGACGTATTCATCCCAAAGGAAGAATTTTCTTATTGAACCTACATAACTGATGAATCAGCTAGGTTAGAAGTGTTGCTGCGTATTTCAAAACCAAGGTACCTAGGCTGCTGAGAACTGACCCAGTCTGTGCCCCTGAGCCCCACATTCCCTAAAACTCTACAGATTAAAATATGGTGTCCCAAAGTCTTTTTGCAGTTTTTCAAGCTATAAAAGCCACACTAAGAGTTTTTGGTCGAGACAGTGTATGTAAATATATAATAAAGACCCTTGAAGTACCTAGCATGAGAGGACAGTGAAATTCTATCCTTAAACCTGGGGCACTCAGACAGATGAAATTAAAATTCTATGGCTGTGATCAAATACAAATAAAAAACACATCCCAGTTCATTTTCTCTGTTAGAAGATGATTGTTGTAGCCATTGTATAAATAAGGCAAATTTAATTCAGCATCAGGATAAAAATGAAGGAATATTCCTGCTTTGGATGAAAAATGCCTTGGAAAGACTAGAGACCCTGACATAGTGCTAGATGTGGAGTCTGAGGGTCAAGGCTTCAGCTCCACTCTTGCCACTGACCACCACTATGAGTCTCATTTGTACAATGGGAAAGATTAGACTAGATGACATTTGAAGGTCCATTTTCAGATCTAACTCTATGATCCTTTACTGACATTTGAAATGCACTGGTCAGAAAGATGGAAGGAAAAGGAGGTGAAGGAGTACCTCATTCATTACCTTAAGGTTTCACTGTGTTTTCTTTTAGGTGACAGCACCTTTTAAACACCAAGAATGTACCAACACCACCATAAAAGGAGCACAAGAAAATAAACAGAATTTCTATTTTATTTTCTTTTAAAAGCCAGGAGGTCTGTTGGCAGTTTGGTTGTGCCTCTGGAACCATAAACTTCACATTCAGAGACACAAAGTAATCCATCTAGAAATGGGTTAAGGCGCTGTGGGAAGTGGTTAAAACCATCCCAGCTACACAAAAGAGAAAGCTGCCCTGTGTGACAGGATTATTTGGTATCCAGTTTGATATGGTAATAATATATCAAAAATCACTTCTCAAATGGGATATTTAGACAAAAATAACTTTTAAAAGAACTATTAAAAATTATACATTTGTACATATACACAATATACTGCTGTAAATTTTTAAAGACCAAATAGTTTAAAAGTTCATTTGGTTCTTTTTAGTATTGTTTCTCCACCTCTCTGGATTTCCTCCCTGAATTCTCTTTTTCTTTCTCTGGCTCTTCCCAAGCTGGCACTGGTCTGTCTCAAATTAACTTTCAAGACATTTTGTAACAGAAGCCAGGAACACTGATTCTATCCTTTGATTTGCTACTCAGCTGAAGAGGTCCACGAGTGATTTTTAAAGGGAGATCATTTTTTTTTTTTAAGTTCAGTCTGTATTGAAAGGGAATGGATCTGATGGAAAAGGCAGGTTCTGGGTAAATTACAGGGCCATTGTCAGGACCATGAATAGCTATACAAAGTGGTAGGAATCTCTAGGAGCACTGAAACAAAGATGGGAAACTCCAAAACCCCAACTCTGCAATATACACCAGAGGAAGCAACCAAGGAACTGACTGATACTGTAACACAACAGGGCCTCCTCCCTGTTTTGCGAGGGGCATTAGCTGTCCTCAGGAACGACTGGAGTAGAATCACTTTGAGCAGTGGCCCATCTGACATCCTTGGAAGTCATCTCAACTCTTATAAAGAGGATTCTTTAAGGAGCCAGCAGCTTCCCTGGAAAACTCAGGATAATCAGCATAAGAGGCTCATGAACAAGCTTCATCTCTTCATGAAGTTCTTTTCCAGAGCAGCTGAAGTTCTCTGCAGAGAGTAGATGTTTCGCTTGACCCTATCCTCTAAGGAGGAGGTGGACGTACTTTCTAACTTCAACTGGCTGTGGAGGAGTTGAGAGAGACAAGTCAAAAACATGCTTTCTAACTGACCAACTCTCTGGCTGGGTCATGGTAAGAAGAAGCAAGATTCTGGCTACTATAAATTAAACAGACTTTTAAAAGCCCACACATAACTTTCAGCACTCCATCTGGAACTACATACAGTTGGGGAAAGCAGCAGATTTCTTTTTCTCCAAAAGTACCCATAAGAGAAAATGTATCTGCTGTAGAAAGTGAGGCAAAGGTCCACTAGAAAAAGATACTTAGGGCAGCTAGGTGGCGCGGTGGATAGAGCTGCGGCCATGCAGTCAGGAGGACCTGAGTTCAAATCCGGTTTCAGACACATATAACATACAACACTTACTAGCTGTGTGACCCTGGGCAAGTCACTTAACCCTGATTGCCTAGCAAAAAAAAAAAAAAAAAAGATACTTAGACCATGAAATATCCAAAGTGAAAAGGAGGGCCAGAGAGTGTCAATGGCTGAGAAACCTATCTTCTGCCCACAACAAAAAACACCCCACTATCTGACCAGAGGCCTGGACCCCTACACCAACAGTGGTCTGGAAGCTGAGTTCCAAGAGCCGAGGCTTTCTTTCAGAGCCGTGACACGGAGGCACCCTCCCACTCAATTACAAGAAATATGCCAACAGTCTAGGGGGAAGGGAGGGAAACAGCTGGGGCCAAGTCTACTCACTGGATGAATTTCCCATCCCGAGAGTCCAACTTCTCCAGCTTCCGTTCTCTTTCATCTTCCTTTTCATGCCTCTTGAGAGTGTTCAGCCTCTCTTCCTCCCGCCACTTGGCATTCTCCATCATTTCTTGCCGTTTTCGCTCCAGTTCCTCTGCTGAGAGTTTTCTGTGAATGTAAAGCCCTGCCAGATCTACCTTTTCCCAGCTGGGAACAATCTCATATATGGAAGAGAAAGCCAGGTTCAGTGGGGGCAGGAGGTTCTCTTAGTCATCACCACACGGTTAGCTTGTTGGAGACTCCCTTTTCTCCCTCACGAACTCCCTGGCCTAAGAAAGTCAATGATGAGGACCTAGGAAGCATAGCACCCTCAACCATCCCAAATCAAATCAAAGACTTATTTATTTTTAGAGTCATTCAGGAAAGTCAATAATCAGGTCTTGGGAATGATTTAAGGAATAAGGAACATGAGAACAAAAAAAAGAAGGCCCTAGACTCACAGTCATAATGTAGGCACTAGCATGGTGCTGTGTATAAAACACTCAAATATTTGTTGAATAAATGAACACCTCAAAATTGATCTTGTTTTTAGCCATAAAACACATCTGGAAATGGTTAGGAATCTAGAGACAAAACCCTATTTGGGACTAAACTAGAAACCAGCGTAGCTTGAGAATTTGAACTTAATTCCTTATGAAAATGACAAGAATTATCCCTGTCATTCCACATTCCAAATCACACACTATTCTTTCCAGTGTTCTCCGGAAGCAAAGAGGAAAATCCACATCAGAGATCAAACTCTGTTTATTAAAGTCCAGAGTTTCAATAGTCTAGTTCTACAAGGAAAGGGACCGTGGAAAGAACACCAGACTTGGAGTCACTGGTCTTGGATTCTAGTTTCAGGTCTACCACTTAAACTACTGTGTGACCTTAAGCAAATCACTTTTATCTATGCTCTACTTAGCACCTAGGGCTGCTATAGTAAAATTTAAATTTTGAACTGAAGCTATCTTCAGTTGTCTGGGGGGAAAATGCACTCACAGAATCATTAGAGTTGAAAGGACTGTACCTGTCCACCTAATTTCCTAATAATGCCAGATAAATGCAGTGTCATATACACATCCCACAGAATAGTTAAATAAAGTCCAACAGACAAGTCCTCCTGATTCACTTGAAGCCTTACCAAGGACAATGGTGTAAGCTCCAATTACATTTAGGTAGGCTTCCAAGAATATTTCTAACTCTCCACAGCTCCCAAGACTGTGAGTGATGCACACCCAAGGGGCAATGTTATAAAAGGTTGAATCCAAATGTTTTCCCCTCTAAACCTGCCTCTCCTCCAAACTTCCCTTTTTCTATTGAGAATAAAATCATTCTTCTAGTCATTCAAGTTCAATACTTCAGAGTCATCCTTGAGTCTCCATTCTCCATCATCTCCCAGATCCAATCAGTTACCAAGCCTTGTCAATCTACACATCTTTTCTTGCTTCTGCATGTCTTCAGCTACCACCTTTATT